GAGATTTTTTTTTTTTTTTAATATTTATTTTTTGGGAGACTGCAAGCAGAGGAGGAGCACAGAGAGGGGGACAGAGGATCTGAAGTGGGCTTGTGCTGACAGGCTGACAGCAGCGAGCCTGACGGCGGGGCTCAAACTCATGAACCATAAGATCATGACCTGAGCTGAAGTCAGATGCTCAACCGACTGAACCACCCAGGTGCCCCCCAAGATTTTTTTTTGTCTGAAACTCAATGTTCTTTAAATAGTCCTGAACTGAGACAGGAAAGAGAAGAAACCTTTTTTTGAGTACCTACTGTATTAGACACTGATAGATTCTTTATTATTGTTCTTAATTCTCATGGCTACAGGTATTACTTTGCAATGAAGAGATGGAGGCTTGGAGAGGCCGGGTAATTGTTCCAATATTACACTTGGCTTATATAGGGAACTAGCACAGTGCCTGGCACATAGTAGGCATTTGTTTTTTTTTTGTTTTTTTTTTTTTTTTTTTTTTTTTTTTTTTTTTTTTTTTAACATTTATTTATTTTTGAGGCAGAGAGAGACAGAGCATGAACGGGGGAGGGGCAGAGAGAGAGGGAGACACAGAATCGGAAGCAGGCTCCAGGCTCTGAGCCATCAGACCAGAGCCTGACGCGGGGCTCGAACTCACGGACCACGAGATCGTGACCTGAGCTGAAGTCGGACACTTAACCGACTGAGCCACCCAGGCGCCCCAGTAGGCATTTGTTTTTAACTCAGAATATGTTTTCCTTCAGAAATAGTATTTGACATGAAAGTTGGGTTTCCAGACCAGTCAGTTCCATAATATGTATGAAGTTAGGATCAACTTTTATTTATTTGTGTAATAAACTTTCATTTAGCATGGTGTTAGATGCTGTGTATACAAGACATAGTCCCTGCTGTCAAGGAAATTAGAGTAATAGGAGTGAAAGATAGGCAAACAGGCCATTACACGACTGTGTATACCCTGAGCCTAGAGAAAGGGTACCTCACTTGGAGTACCTCGTGGGGAGTCAGGGAGGCTTCTGAAAGGACCTGATACCTGAGCTGACTCTTGAAAGCTGAATAGGAGATACCAAGGTAGAGAAATGAGAGAAGGCTTTCTTGGTGGAGAGAACAGACCCACAAAAGACCCAACAGAGGCAAGAGAAAACACAAGGTATCCTGATGAGGTAGGGTGAAGATTGCAAGGACTTTGGGAATGGGTAACTAGTGAGGCCAGATCATGCAAGGCTTTTAGGCCATGCTAAGAGCTTGGACTTTTGCCTTTTGTTAGTAGAGGACCACTGAAAATTTTTAGCAAAAGAAATGACCCAATCAGATATTCATTTTTGGGACAATCTAGCGGCTAGTATGGTGGACACATTGGAAGGGGTTAAGAGTAAAAGCAGTAGAAAGACCTTAATTTCCTTAATATCACATGGAGTAAGGTTTCCATGAGAAAAATGCATATAGATCCAAACTCTGGGGTACCAGAAATATATTACTTCTGTTTCCTGCAATAGTGTAGGGAAAGTCTCTGTCCTCAATTCCTCTACTTTCTGGACAAAGAACAATGGGAATGAGAACAGTTTTAGATTCAGGCTGCTGATGGACACTGAGCTGGAGCAGAGACTTTTCACTTAGAGAGGACATGAAAGGAGCTAGGCAAAGACTGTTGGACGGAGAGGAGCCTGAACAGAGATCCTAGGATGAGGAGGGAGATGGTTGAGCAATATAGTAAAAGGCAAAAGTAGGTGCTGTGGTGCATTGGGGATGAAGAGCTTTCAGGGGCCTGGCTTTCTCCATAAGAATGAAGGCAACCCCTCTGCCTCACTATCATTTTAGGTCCCAAGTAAATCTTCTTCCACATCCATTTCTTTTATTCTTTTGGTGCCAATAATGATTTGCCTATTTCTGTTCCCTTTCCACTGCCACTACCCATTGCTTCCAGCCTTACTGAACTGCTATAAAAGAGGATACAGACCTACATCTTCTCTCCTCGCACTTTTGTTTATGATATAAACATACTATCCTTTGGTGTTGGATTTTTTGCTACTAATAAAGTTAGAGAGGGGTGCCTGGGTGGCTCAGTCAGTTAAGCATCCAACTTTGGCTCAGGTCATGATCTCGTGGTTCTTGAGTTTGAGCCCCACATCTGGCTCTGGGCTGACAGCTCAGAGCCTGGAGCCTGCTTCAGATTCTGTGTCTCCCTCTCTCTCTGCCCCTCCCCTGCTCATGCTCTGTCTCTCTATCTCAAAAATAAAATACTCATTAAAAAAATTAAAAAAAAAAAAAAACGTTAGGGACTCAGAATGGAAAGGCTTCCTTCCAGTCCTATCCCCTTCTAGGGCAAGAAAAACCACAACTAGTTTTGCTAACCACAAAACTACTACAATATGATTTGAGGGCATTTTTTAAGAAAAAAGAACCAAACTTGGAGTGTCCTGGACATTTTATGGAAGAGAAGGCATCCCTCAACCCCGAAGGAATCTTTTCTCTTTATTACTGTCTCTCTCTTAAAACAGAGCTCACTGTGGTGTGATGCAAACAGAGGCATTATGGTGCCCAGTAGCAGCTAGCTGAGGGAGAAAGGAGAAAGACATTTTGAACTGTATAGCATTGGAGAAGAGGGGATAGAGCCCCTGTTGCCGTTTGACCACTGAACTTACCGCTCCTGGTATATGTATATTCCCCTTTGTATGCAAGTTGGGTGTGTGGTTCAGAGGCCACCTGTAAGTGGAATTTCCTTTCTGGTTATACTAGTATAACAGTTTCACCAACATGAGTTACATCACTGACTGGATTGATTGCCATTTTTTTTCCCCTTTTTAAATTGACCTTGCTCATATTTAGTAAGATTACTATTAAATAGTGAAATGTTCAAAATAGGAAAATTTTTAAAAAG